TACAACTATTGATAATCTCCTACCTCTTTTGTCTGTAACTCACTATTATTTGTCTATTTGTTTTCCTGAGAAACTATCTTGTAGATAACAATATGTAAAATAATAACCATTGATAATTTCCTACCACTTTGTCTGTAATTTGGTAAGCCCCCCCTATTATTATGTTATCCTTCTTTTACTCTGAAAAAAAAAAAAGGAGGTCTCAGCTCACTGAACATAAGAAAATTCAGTTAGGAAAGAAACTTCATGAATGTAGTATCTGTGGGAAAACCTTCTACAAGAAGTTCTACCTCACTAAACATCTGTATGTTCACAAGAGACAGAAACCCCATGAATGTGGTAAATGTGGGAAAGCCTTCTTCATGAAATCTCAGTTTACTCAGCATCTGAAGATACATACAGGAAATACGTCCCATGTGTGTCCTGAAAGTGGGACAAGTTTTGCCAGGAAATTACCGCTCATTATGCATGTGTGAATTCATACAGGACAGAAACCTTATTTATGTAGTGAATGTGCAAAAACATTCACTGAGAAGGGCAATCTTATAACATCAATGAACTCACATGGGAGAGAAACCCTATGGATGCACAGACTGCGGTGAGGCCTCCAACCAGAAGGTCTGCCTCATAGTACATCAGAGACACTCCTAGGGAAGATGCCCTTTCTTCATACTGTGTGTGGACAATCCTGTTCACAGAAGTCAGCGCTCTTTAGACATCAGAAAATTCACTCTGGAGAGAAACTATACATGCAGCGGCTATGGGAAAGCCTTCACTACAAAGGCAAAGCTCATCACCCATCATACAACTCATACAGGAGCGCCTACTCCTCCACTGCCTTGCCTTGTTAAACATAAGAGAACACACGGCAAGGAGAAATGTAGAGATGAGCGAAGGTGGAAAATTCTACAGTGAGTCACACCTTATTAGACGGTAGTAAACTCATGCGAGGGAGAAACCCTGCTAATAGCTGTGAAAATACCTTCTGTGATCCTGAAGATGTCAAACATCAGTGGGCTCCTAGCAAACAGGAATGTGGTCCCTGTGGGACAGCCAGGGGCTAGGCACCCACCCTAGGAGAAAACAGAGGAGTTGTACCAGACAGAAAATTCGTGAATGTAGTGAATTGTGGTTGTGCCTTCAGTCATTAATTATGTCTTATTTTATGTCACAAAAATGTAGATGAAAAAAACCCCTGTATATTCAATATGGAAAAGCCTTGCTGAATATGTGTTTAAGTGTCACCTTTGAAATCCTATGAGTACAGAAACTAGGAAAACTTTCCTGGAAGATGGACCTTATTGTGAATAGTCACCGTGGATTATCATGGGACATGTAATGATGTAATGATTGAGAAGGGTTGTTACATATGGGAGATAAAAATACTGACAAAATACTTTAGCAAAAATACTGAAGTGATTTTTAAGGCAAACAAGCCCTGTGAAAAAGAGGAATTTTTAAGCTTTCTGTTCCTTTTGAAACCTCATTATACTGGACAGGATACCTTGAAACATACTCCTATTTGCTATGGTAGTGATTCCATAATTGAAAAGAGAGAGCCTCAGGGACTGGGAGTACAGCTCTGATATAGCACTTGTCCTTGCCCACCATGCCCAAGACCCTGTATTTGATTCCCAGAACTGCAAAAATAAATAAGAAAGCTTATGCTTCACATAAAAGAAAAAAAGAAAAATCACAGAAGCAGAAGGTTAAAAAGTGCTTATGCAATTGAGCCTTGTCCTCTCTTGCTCCTGGGAACTCACGGATTGTCATCTTGGAACTAAGCTTTGGTAGTCTGCTGGAGACATGTGGCCCCAACACCTTAGATGATGGCCAATATCACATAGACATGTAAGGGTATTCACAGAATCATGAAAAATAGTAAATAAATACTTGTTGTTTAAAGCTATTGTTTTAGGATGAGTTGTTATGCAGCATTAGCTGATTGATACAATATACTTACTTCATATATACCTCCCTTTTCTCCTGGAAACTGAGAAGATGTGTTTCAGGAATACTACAGGTTGAGCTCAAAGGTGGGTTACTTCCTAACTTTCTCTGGGCTTTGGCAAGTTAATTCACCTTTTTTTAGCCTCACTTTTCATCATCTTCTAATTAGAGATAACATTGTTAGAGTAACATTATTAAGATAACATGGTAGGATAACATGGTCGGGGCTGGGGATTTAGCTCAGCAGCACAGGGCTTGCCTGGCAAGCACGAGGTCGTGGGTTCAATTCCCTCAATATTCCCTCAATAGAAAAATACCAAAAAAAAAAAAAAACAAAAAAAAAACAAAACATTGTCACTTGTGTGACAAGTAACTGAGATGAACTACAAAATGTGCTTCACACAGTGCCTGGCACATAGAACTCCACACGTCTTTAAAGGATGACCATGAGCTGGTGGTGCACTCCTGTAATCCCAGCACTCAGGAGGCAGAGGCAGGAGGACTGTTGCAAGTTTGAGACCAGCCTGAACTATATAGGGAAATCCTGTCTTACAAAAAAAAAAGACAGTGATGGAGGTAACAGGAAAAAGGTCATAGTGAGTAGATGTCCTGGCTAAGGCCTGTCTTGGTCCTTCAGTGGGATTTACTTTTTCCAAGGAAAGGCTACTGAGAGTAAGATTCAGCTACACAAACATTTACTATGTATCCCACGCCACACCCCATGCCTGAGTGCAATGTGAAAGCAGGAATAATTGATGACACTGAACTATTCAGAACTAGAACTTGCATATTTCACAAATAATTGAAGTAGGACATCAAAATATTTCTGAATGGAACTCGAACAGATTAATAGTTTCATTAGTATTTCACCAGTCTAGCCTGGGCCAGCTGTGACCGGCAAGGGGCAGCCCCTCCCCATCAAGGAGTAAGTTACATCCTACTCTGAAAACAAAGTCATTTCAACTCTAAAGACTGGCTTTCAATTCTTTTAACCTCAACCCACAAAATGAAACACTTTTTCTTGGGCCTCACCCCCAAACAGAAACAAAATTATATCCGTTGCAACTTCATGTGGGATGCATTCTGATTTTTTTTATTGTATTCTATTTTATTCTTTTAAGTATGGTCACAATCCACTAAATGGATTTTAAGACCTACTACTGGGTCACAACCAGCCGCCTGAAAGAACTGTTCTGAAATATCACCTAGGAGAAGCAGTTTAAAGATCATCTAGTTCCAACTCTTCACTTTACAGGGGTACACTGAGCTTCAGAGAGGTTAAATCACTTGCCCAACACCACACAGCCAATAAGTGGCAGTGTTCGGAGTTGACAATAAAAACCGCACAGCTGTTGAACGCCTACCTCGTGCCAGCCTCTGTGTGTTTTTTTTTGTTGTTGTTGTTGTTCGTTTGTCTTTTTGAGACAGGGTCTCGCAGTTAAGGCTGGCGTGAGCTCACTTTGTAGCCCAAGCTGGTCTCGAACTCCTGCCTCAGCCTCCCAAATCCTGGGATTACAGGCGTGCACCACCCGCCCCCGCCTGTCCTGGGTTCTTGAATCGCATTCATTTAATATAGTACTCACTGCGATCCTATAAAACATAATATTCTTCCCATTTACAGGCGAGGAGCAAGTCTCAGAATGAGGGAAATGACTTATTCACAGTCTCAAACAGTCAGCAGTAGACCTGGCATCTGTCTCCAAATCTGGCGGCTCATTGGGCGGGTCAAGAAAGTTGTTAGCAAAGTGTGTTCGTGTAGCGATAACGCGACGTTTTCTAGTCTGCAGGGATTTACACCTCCGCAGCTCCAAAGGAAAGCGGTGGCCGAAGAAGAGCGCGCAGCCTTTATCTTGGGAGAGAAGTCGAACCCAGGGCCTACCATCTGCTCTGCACATCTGAGGAATCATTCTGCCCTTCAGTTTCTCCACCCGTGAAGCTGGGGGAATAAGAGCGTTCACTTCCGGCACCGAACGAGTCAACCCCGGCAGGCGCCTGTCAGACGTCAATCCCAGAGCCACGCCCCCTCCTCCTCCGGCGCATGCGCCACGCACGGGCGCCTTTTACGACGCGGCGGACGCGGCGCTTGGCGGCCGGAGCGGAGCGAAGGCGGCGTGGCGCGGCTGTGCCAAAGGGACGCTCGGGTGGCCGCGTCGCCATGTCGCACGGGCACAGCCACGGCGGAGGCGGTTGTCGCTGTGCGGCCGAACGAGAGGAGCCGCCGGAGCAACGCGGCCTGGCCTACGGCCTGTACCTGCGCATCGACCTGGAGCGGCTGCAGTGCCTCAACGAGAGCCGCGAGGGCAGCGGCCGCGGCGTCTTCAAGCCGTGGGAGGAGCGGACCGACCGCTCCAAGGTGGGCCTCCGGGGTCGGGGCGGCGAGCGGGCTCCGCCAGCCGCGCTCCCGAGGTTGCAAAGGACGACAGCGCGGTCGCCAGGCGCTTCCTTGTCGCTGCCTCCTATCAGCCTTTGAGAGGCCAGCGGGGTCCAGTCTCCTCGCTTTGCACCCGGGAGACCGAGACGCGGAGAGGAAAAGTGGGCGCTTTGGCTTCGCACGGCTCCGGGTTCCGCTGCAGAGCTGTGCGGGCTGTGGGCGAGCTTGGTTTTAAGGATGTTTCCCCCTGGCCTGTGATCATCGGTCTCGGCGGCTGCCTGATCACGTCGGCTGGTAAAGCTCACCCTCGGCAGATGATGGGTGTTCCCCATTTAGACCTCAGGCCCCTCTGAGAGCCGTTCGACTGCTGTGGGCCCTCCCTCCCGGAAAATGCACACAGTCTCCGGCCTTTTCATTCGCAGTTCAGGGGGCTCCCCTGTAGGAACTCGCCGGATGGTGTAGGATGGTCTGTGGATGTTAGAATGAGATCACTTAGCGTCACTTGATCTTAGCCAAAGGCCGAGAAGCGATGATCCCTTAGCTTCACGTTACGAAGTCCTGCAAAACCCGAGGAGGGTTACCTATTTGCCTTGCGCCCGCGCGTGTGGAACGGGGTGGGGAGATGCCTGAAATTGTAGGCTCTCAGCAAATGTTTGTTGCTTTCTCCTCCCTCCACCCCAACCCCTCCAGTTTGTTGAAAGCGATGCAGATGAAGAGCTTCTGTTTAATATTCCGTAAGTATCGCCTTGGTGCCTGCCTCGGGCTAAGTAGGCTGTGACCAGTTGCCTCCTCAGATGGATTCACTCATTGGTTGTGTCAAGAACACACTTCTGTTTCTAGAAATGGGGTGGGTTTGAGGAGAAAAGCATCGTAGCTTTTGTTGGAGCAGGCTGCAAACAGATGTACTTGTTGAATAATAACTGGGAAGTCGAGGTACATTTCTTAGAATTGCAGAAGGCCAGAGCTAGACAGATCTTAGAAGTTACCTAGTCTTAGTCTGACAGATGAACAAACTGAAGCTCAGAAAGGGGAATGGTTTTGTTCAGGGTCCCACCAGTTTAGGGATTTAACCCCAAGTTGACAGCCTTCTCTTTTGTGTTCTGGCAGATTTACGGGCAATGTCAAGCTCAAAGGCATCATTATAATGGGAGAGGATGATGACTCACATCCCTCTGAGATGAGACTGTAAGTGGCAAGGGCTTAGGCCCTCATAAAGCTCCTAATTTTCTTTATCTTTTCTGGTCTGGTAACACATTATCCCAGGATAATATCATTTTCTTTTACCAGGGTCAGTGTTCTTCCTTTGAGAATATGTTGGTCTTATGCTCATTTACAACCTAATATGCTTTTTTCTCCTTGTTATTTTACTTCTTGCCATCCTGGGGCTCGAACCTAGGGCCTTTGCAACCATCCTATCATTGAAACACATTCCCAGTCCAGTGCTCAATGATTTTTATAGATTAAGCATCTTCAAGGCCAACGGCTTATCTCTTTTTTTTTTCAAAGTGCTTACTGTTGCACCATTCATTCAGAGACCATTCTGTAAATGACAGTGTCGATGACTGTGCAGCTTTCTTAATAACCTCAAAAGGTCTTTCCTAATAACCTCGAAAGGTCTTTATGAACTCTACTCTTGGGCTTAGCTTCACAATTTCGTCTTGCTGTTTCATAGGGCTTTGCCTGTGCTATGTTGACATGGTTTTGTGACTTATTTAGCACAGTTCTGTACACCTCTTGCAACACAGTATCTGTTGCCCACAGAGGTAGTTACTCCCTTCTCCATAGCTTATCTTATTCTAGTATAACCTTCTGAAAGAGGAAGAAAACTGCTGAGCGTTGAAAAAAAACCATGTGTATGAACTTTACATAAAAGAAATTTTATCTAGGGCTGTAGCTATAGCTCAGTGGTAGATCCCTTGCCTAGCATGTGCAAAACCCTTGGTTTGCTCCCTCTCATTTGATCTATAGCACTGCAAAAAAAAAAAAAAAAAAATCCCGAAAATCGAACAATTTAAATGGACTTTAAAGAGATTCAAGAACTTCGTGCAATTTTGAATG